CACAACCCTTCAAATTACAAAGGTTCAAGATAGAGAGAGTTGTAATGGGTGGAGTTATTAATTTTGTAGTCTATTTTTAAAAAAAAATATTTTTGTAGGGCAATTTTGTAAATATTACTACAAGACAAATGGTACTTTTGTCATCTCCATAAGGGGTGAAATTGAAATTTTAGGGTGAAATTGAAATTTTAATTAAAGGACGAGGGCATTCTACTAATAAAGTTTTATGACACTAACTTCCAAAATGCCATGTACTTTTGTGAAAATTTCAAATTTGCTCTTGCTTAATGGTAAAGTTATCTATTTAAATAATTTTTTAATAAAAAAGTAATGATTATTTTGATAAAGACACCCATCACAACCCCTTTTAACTTGAACCTTTATATATATATATATATATATATATCGAAGTCAAGATAATCAATTCGGTATTTTTCCAACATCAACAAAACTTTCCCAAAAGATTTTAGAGGTGCATCTTAATTCTATATATAAACTTTCCCAAAAAAAAAAATTGGAAATGTATACAATCAAATAATTTATTTTTATACAAGGAGGTGTGAATCATCATTGACCATTAGATTTGAAATCGGATGGTTGAGGATGTGTCGTTGTTTGGGTGCAAATCCAAAATAAAATATTTTCGATTGTTGTGACACTTTTATCTATTGGATTTCACATCCAATGGCTAAAAATGATTGTGACATCTTTGTACTAAAAGTCAATAAACCCATAATACACAATCCTAAAGTAAATCATTGTTGACCTTACACATTTGATCTACCCGCCGACACCTGCCAAATTTAATAGAGACCATTTACCTTTGGTACAACGTGGTCACAATTAGTCTTGACTACTGGAAGTGAATTAGATGGATGCTTTAGGTTGGCCCTGGATTTCAAGCTTCTTTTGGTCCAAAATTTGGGCCTTCAGGTTGTGCCATGGCCAGCCTTTAATGAGCCCAGCTTATTTTCAATTCAGGTCGTGCCATTTCTCTGTCTCTCTCTTCGCCCATGTCAACCTATCTTCTCTTTCTAATCCCAACCCTCCCTGCCTTATAAATAATGGGTAATGATTTTATGGAATAGTTTTATAGTAAATATAATAAATTAATATTAAAAAAATTATGGTAGTACCATTTGCTTGAGTTTAATTTTTAAAGGATTGTATACTATAGGAATATTTATTTTTTGGTACAAGGAAGTTACAATCAGTTTTAGCCATTGGATGTGAAATCCAAAAAATTTAGATGTCTATCTTATCATTAGATGAATAATGTTAAAAAAAAAATTTAATTGTGAGTTCATAATGACCTAGACCTAGATCTTTGGACAATGCACGGTCCAGAATCATTGTTGGAATGGAACAAACTCTGACCATATCTAATATGCAAATTGAGTTTTATTTTTTTTAGGATTGATTTATGGGATGAATAGCGTGCATGTGTAAAATTGGTGTTACACAAACGCTACAAACATGATTTTCTAAAGGATGAAATCTCTATAAGGCCTAGGTTTTATGAAAACAAAATAAAGGCTCACTTTAAATCCTCGTCTGGAAAGCACTTTTGGCAACAAAAATCTCCATGATGGCTCTAAAATAAATTTCACAACACTCACAATAAAATTTGAAACTTAAAAAAATGGTACAGATCTTGCAAATCTATGAACACCTATTTTTAGGACGAAATAGAAGATCTAGATAATTTGTTACATATATACTATTTTTAGAGCTTGAAATCCTAATTTGTTTCTACAACCATAATGTTCAAGCCAAGATGATCCATATAAAGGTTTTCCAATTCTTAAATTGTAAATTTTGATGAGTTATGACGTGAGGTTTTACTTATTTTGAGAAGGCTCCAGTCCTATCAAACTATTTTCCTTTTCTAGAAGTGTGGCTCAAAAATAAATGGAAATGTGGTTGGGGATCACAACCAATATTGACTGTTAGATATAAAATCGGGTGGTTGTGGATGTTTTATTGACTTTGGCACGAAGTCCAAGATAAAACTTCTCAAATATTGTGACACTTCAATCCATCAAATTTAAGTAAAAATGATCGTAATCACCTTATACCAAAAGTAAATGATCTTATAGCCCGATGCTAGTCCCGCCTATGCAAGGTCCCAAGAGAGGTAAGATAGATACGATCATAACCTTTGACTTTTTATACATATAGGGGCCACTCTAAGGACTCAGGCCCAAGCTCTTATGCTGGCTAACCAAGCTTTTTACTGTCACACCACCTAAATGATCTTACAGTATACAATCCCTAAATAAATAACTTAGTGTCAACAAATCTCTCTCTCTCCCAAATGAAGCACTCAAGCCCTTTCTCAGGCCTTCTGGCTCCGTGCCCTCCCAGCATCGACAACTTGTTTTTTCCTCTCTAAAATGAACTCTAAAGCCCTTTATTTTCATGCCTTCTTTCAATTCCCAACTTCATCCCTGATCTAAAACTCTCATATAAGTATTGAGCTCATACCACGCAAATACAGAACTTGGTCGTACAGGTAAGTGTCTACTAGAGTTGTATTTTATTTATTTTTGTATAAATCAGAATATAATTATTTTTGGTGTGGAACCTTTCCGAAAGCTCACCTGTTAAAAATATTAATATAAAACAGATTTGTATATAATGAGACCATTTATCTATGGTACAAAAAGATCACAAATACTTATGACCCTCCGATGTGGATCTAATGGCTTAGGTATATCGCTAAGTTCGAGAACTTTACGCAAAATCCTTTTCAATATTAAAAGGTATTTTGGTTATTTAAAAATATTAAAAATCTTTATTTTAAATTTATTATATATGCTCTCAACTATCCAATCAAATCTAAACAATTGATATTAATAATAATCAACTTTAAAAAAAATGTTATAATTTGTAATTTATTGCATGTAAAGAGATGCACATGCGCACACACGTGTATAAAATAATAGTAAGTGCACTGGGGCAAATCAACATCAATCACAGATTTCGTATTAAAAGGGTGACCCCTAAATTTGGCTCCAGTAAGGATAGGGATTTCAGAGCATTATTGGGAAAGGAGATTATGGAGCATGAAGCTGAAATATTTATGTCATTACAGGGAAATTTATCAAGATATAGCTGACTTATCGGCCATATTCAATATTTTACCATTCTGATCTATTCAACTCATAATCTTTAGTAGATTTTGATGAGCTTTTTGAAATGAAATAAAAAAAAAATGGGAATCCTTTGTTGATAAATTTCTCTTAATTGTACAAAGATTACATGGCGTCAGGGGCCCTTTCATATATAGCCTCGTCCCTTGCTTGTATTTTATATCAAAACTACGAGAAACGTTTTAGCTTGGGGCTAGTTTTCAATTCAGGTTTCTAATAATCACACAATTCATAAGGTTAACATGGTAGTAGGCGTGGCAACGGGTCGGGTTCAACAAGACCCAAACCGGAATAGATTCGGGTCCACGTTTTGGACCCGGACTTGATCCATCGGGTCTAAAAATTGAACCCATACACCCATCGGGTCTCGGGTCTAACCCATCAGGTTTTGGGTCCATTGTCACCCTCACTATGAGCTTCTTTTTTTCATTTTCTTTTTGCTCCTTTTTTTACTATCATATACCACGTATTATTGGCAACAATGCCACAATCACCCGCTATTAGATTTCAAGTCGTGTGATTTGTTGTTTAATAGCTAAAGATGACTACAAGTTCTAATTATATACGATCCTTGATACACCCAAATGAATATGACTTAAAGTATTATATCTAATAGTTTACATGTATAGGTCGGGTCCAGTTGGACCCGGACCTATATAGTGTTTGGTTCTAAGTTTTGGACCCAGACCCGACCCGTGTCGAGTATACCTAGCAGGTCCTAGATTAGATCTGGGTCCATTGCCACCCCTACATAGTGGAATGTAGGATGTTTGATTTGCTCATCATCATCATGCAAGCCTTATCCCAATTATTTGAACTCAGCTATATGAATCATGTTCCTCCATTCTTCTTTATCGAGAGTCATACTCTCAATAAAACCAGCATATGATATGTTCAAGATTCATAATGACATGTAGCAAAGTTTTTCATTGGCTGCCTATCTAACGCAACCCACCACCTTTGCCCAAGTTTGGGACAGGTTAAAGGAAAGTTTAAAGTCATCACCCTAATTAGAACCATGATGTTTGATTTTACTCGGCAGAATAACTCAAAGTGACAAAAACAGCCCTTTACTTTTCGTTCATAATAAATAAATTCATGAATAATTGGCACCAATTATTAATCCAGAAACCTAATGATTCTCTAATTGGATATTCAAATTACATCATAGAAACAAATAATTAAATTTAAAATATGCAGAAAAAACAAATTTGAGTAAATGTTTGCTTGTGAAAGAACAATAAGATGCACGTTCATGAAAGAACAATTTGATCTGAAGAGCCATTTTATATATCATCTAGTTTATACAGGTATATACAGGAAATCATACTAACTAATACCAGTAGTATTTTTCATTTAAAAAGAAAAAGGAAGAGAAAATGCTAATCATGAAAGAACAATTCACTAGCAAATTGGTTTCTGGTCCCCTTTCTAGTGACAATCCATCACAGTACAGCATAATTCCATACAGACAATTGAATAAGAAAACAAGAAGATCTGGCAAATTTTGGTAGCTTGCTTTGGACTCTCTCTTTCTCAAAATCCAAAAACAGGCGGAAACACAAAGGCCTATTCATGACCAAAAAACAATGAAAGAAACTCAGAGTGGATACATAAAAAAGACATACACGAATGCCTCCATGTTAAGGCATGAAAGTTGAGGTTAAGTACCACTTACTAATGCTCTTCTTGGCCACCAACTTCACTGTTTATGTTAAGATTTTCATGTTGAGCAACAAGCATGAGGATCTCCAGACGCTTATCAAATAAAGCTGCGCTCTCATCTCTCTTGTCAAGCTCAGCAGCTTCTGCCTCGAGCCATTTCTCTCGAAGATCATCAAGAATATTGGCAATGTCTAAATTTTTTGCATTACCTCCTGGTGCACTTGGAAGAGTCGTTCTAAGAGAGGAGTCACTTGAGGGGGGCGGAATCGTCAAAAGCATGGAGCGGAACTCTGGGGTATCAGCAAACAACTCAAAATTACAGGCCATTGTATCGAGACAATACTCTCTTATCTTTCCCACCCCATACCTGCACATGCAAGTTTTTGTATCAGTGAAGAGCTTGTCATTTGGTTTAAGGGTGGTTGATACATACACAAAAAGAAAAAGAGAAGAAATTGAAGGTTTGTACGGGCAGGCATAGACAATATGGGCATACCATAACAAATGATTACATGCATAGATAACGAAAATCATGATGGGTCACAAGTGGCAATTTTTAAACAAAAGGGGAAAATGGAGAAGGGAGAATTGTGTGCACAATCATAGTTCGCATAAGTATTATTACATGAATACATGAAATAAATCGTATCATTAGACATGATAAACGAAATCAGCTATGTAACCCAAGTGGTGTAACTTTCTTACAGAATAAAGTATGCTGCATTTGCTGGTACTATGGGTTAGCGATGGCAAGAGAAGTCCACATTTGCGACAATGGATGTTAAACTAGATAAAGTACTACTTATACTTGTAAATTATATTTCTCTGGAGTATTGCTCCTGCAATCCTTCAAAAGAACGAGAAATCTACATGATCATGCATGTAGATATCTTCTGGCCCCATACACTGTTATTACAACAAAATGTGAGAAAAATTAAAGAAAAGCTACTGTCTAAGAAGCCAAGGAAAAAAAACGGTACATGTCAGATAAAATGAGCCAGTGGCACAATTCTGCAGATGAAGCCGTTTCCAGATGGGGTATGAGAGCATCAGCCACAGCACGCTTGAGAGGAAACAGCAAATATCTTGAAGCTGCATCAAACATCTCTTCAGCCTGCACCGTAACGCAATCTTAGAGTTCTAAAATTGATCTACAATACATGAAGTTCTTAGTCAATGAAAAACCGTTGAAGAAAGAAATGGCATTTAAAATAGAAGTATAAGACTCATCTACCATACATTACTGGTACATGTTATACTTTCCCCTCAAAGAAATTCTGGGATAGTACCTGATCTGGATCTATATCCTTCAGACCATCAGTATACCTGAAAACAAGCGAAGTCATCAGGATTAAACACTGAAATTGAACAAAAAGAAAGAGATTCAGGTATCAAGATAGTAAGGAAAAGATAAGAACAAGAAAAGGAGGAAAATGTACCCTTAACTTACATATATTCAATCAGCTTCTTAAATGAGTCTGCGCTTAGATCATGTTCTTCGAGCTGGGGGAGAAAATGGGTATGAATCCCATCTTTCCCTTCAAGAAAACCAGTCATCCGGTACAATCTTGCTTTATAATATTCCGACCGTGAAGCCAATATAACTTGATGGCATCGGAAAGTTTTCCCTTCAACTTTGATACACACATCAGCTAGATCATTACCCATGTCCCTTTCACGGAGAGAAGATGATATAACTACACTCTGGGTATCTTCAATTCCCATACCCCCACTTGAAATGGCTAGCGATTTTTGAAGAACACGATCCAAGGAGGCAGGGAGACGATCATCTTCTGGGAGAGAAGTACCCTGTAAAATGAACCTTTTCTGAGAACCATCTATATCCCTGAGAGACTTGTACTCAGCATATTTTTGATGGATTATTTCTTTGTCAAGAACTTTTTGTAACTCTTCGCATTCACAAACTTTGCAAATTCTCACAAGATCTTCCATGTCATCAACTGCAACCTCAAGCCTATCAGAGTAGAAGAAATGGATGAGACTGTACAAGGCACGATAAGATAGCTTCTCCTTTGCAAATCTCACAACCCTGCGATCCCTCCAATCAGTCTCAAATCTCTTCTTAAAAAGGGGCGAGCGAGCACTTAGAATCACTCTATGGGCTTCAATAGGGTTTCCCCGCACAAAAAACGTCACATCAGGAGGGAAATAGCTGGATGTATCACTAGATGAAGGATTACCTGGCAAATGCCAGTGCTGATTTAGTCCTTTTTGTAGTTTCTTTGAATTTTATAAAAAGAAAAATCTGTTCATGAAAGAAGGAATCCATAAGAAAGCAATTGGGTCATCACTACTTCCGAAAGGAAACTAGTAAAAATTATCACATCCTCATATGTTGGTTACAAGCTATTCTGAAAACAGATGAAGATTCACATTGTTGTTATCACAATAGGCATACAGCAGGATCAGACCAAGGCAAATAAGGTCAAATGAGCTCAGTGTGATTAGATAAGCAATGCATGCTCTTTACAAGACAGCAAAGGGAACCAGAAATACATTGAACAATGTTATAAATTTCCAACTGTTAAAGACAGGTCAATCTGAAAAGAGAATACAATTTGCCAGAAAGACAACAGAAACACCATAAGAGAACCCTGATACATTGGGGAACAAAGATAGCAAGAATGGTGCCCAAAGTTGCAGGATGGCATCCAACCAATGTTAACAAACACTCAGGTTCAGGCTTCACTCCCTGCCCAAGACAAGCAAGACAGGCAAGTCCAAGCGGAATTGTCAAGTCCTGAATGAGTCCAAAGAGGCCCCCCCAAAAAGATATTTGCTAAAAATAATTCAATATCAGTAAAATGCAAAAGAAGTTATAAACATTGTTAAAAGTCTATAAAAGTTGGAAAAAGGTATAACAGACAAGGATTTGAAAAAAAAAATTTGATTTATAGCTTGAAACAACTCAAAAAAATCCAGAAAAAGGCAAATAGAAGTATTAGAGCTAATACTAATAAAAATTCACAAATCATCACTGGTTGAGATCGCTCCCTTGGAAAATTGCACGTGGAGGTGCACACGGATAGGTGACCAACAATGAGGGAGATTTTGTGCGGCGAGGGATTCAAGCAACTACCTCATCGCAGTTTGGATTTGCGGACATGCCCGGGCTCTTGGGAGCCCTCTTAGATCAGACAACGAAAGCCCCCTTGCTTCTCGGCTCAGTCTCATGCTGATTCCCTTGACTCACGCAGCGCCTTATTAAACACACACATATGTAGGATGGCTAAATGGTGGTTCATTAACTCCGGTTTACCCTTGAAGAGCGGTCTTGGTGGGTATGGAAGGACAGACGGGGAGATGGTGGTAATGATTGGTCGGGGAGAAAGAGAAAAGGAGGAGAGATGAAAGAAGAGAGAAAAAGATAGAAGAAAGAGAAGAGATAAAAAAAGGGGTAGTTGTGAAGAAGGTGAAAACGGGGTCATTGGGCAATTCAACAGCCTTCCAACGCCACCTCCCCTAGGAGGCGTCTACGGTGGCACGGGAAGGCATCGAACCGAAGTTCGCATGCCCCGGAGGATGCTTTGAGGATTGAATACTGTGGGGCAAACCCAAGTAGGATGACCCTCAACAGAGCCCCCTAATGACTAGATATATTTAGAAGAAAAGAAGAAGAGGAGAAGAAGAAGATAAAAGAACTCCCCCGGAAGCCCCTCTCTTGGTGATTACCCCGGAGGGACCTTAACCAAGAGCAACCCCTGTGAGAAGCAATGAAATGGACGAAGAGAAGAGAACTCCTCTGAGAGCCCCTCTTTTGGTGATTATCCCGAAGGGACCTTAACCAAGAGCGACCACGTGAAAAGCGATGAAATGGAAGAAGATGAGAAAAGAAGAGAAGAGAACCCCCCGGGACGCCCCTCTTTTAGTGATTACCCCAAAGGGACCTTAACCAAGAGCGACCCCCACGAGAATCGACGAAATGGAAGAGGAGGAGATATGAGGAGAAGAAAAGAAAAGAAGAGGGAAAGAGGAAGAAGAGAAAAGAAATTGAGAGTACAAAGGGTAAGAATTTAGAGGGAGAGTTGGAGAGTTTGAAAGAGGATTGCAATGAGGGCAAGCATCCATATTCACAAAAACGGCTTCAAAGGGCAAATATTTAGAATCATGATGGCCAAGCAAGATGATCACTATCCCAATTAATAATATTGTAGTTTCATTATACAAGCCTTATCCCCACTCTTTGGAGTCTGTTACATGAGTATCTTATTCTGCCATTCCGTTATCAATGTCTATGGACTCAGTCAGATCATAGGCCACCATATCATTCCGCTCTCAATGTCTATAGACTCAGTCAGATTACAGGTCACCATATCTCTTCTTACCGCTTCCATTCATGTCTTTTTGGACCTTTTCTTTACTTTTTTAGTTATCATCATCATCATTATCTAAGCCTTATTTGGGATCGGTTACATGAATCTTATTCAACCATTCTGCTCATAGATTCAGGATTTATGATAAGATTTTTCAAAATTCTATGATGGCTGCCATATCTAACACATCCCACCTCCTTTATTTGGGCTTGAGATCATGACTGGCTTGGGTACAGCCCAAGGCTTAGATGTGTACATTGCCTTTTTAGTGCCTTCACCAATTAATTAATATTGTATATGATTTCAAATTGTACGTTTGGGCAGACTAACTAATGATTAATTAGGGCGTTTTTGTGACCTAATATTTATCAAACCACTTTGGATGCATCATTAGAATAATCTAAAACAATAAAAACAACAACAAATTTTTTAACTCAAACTTCGCAATGTCCTTCATATATCCCGTCTATATTTGTCTAAAGAGCGTTTCCATTATTGGGGAACAAATCATCAATTTTTAAGAGAATATTGAAATGGGACAAATGTAATATAAGAGATGTAGGGTTCATCAATCGTCCACCTGGCTTTTTGGTCTGTTGGTTGAAATGAATAAATTAGACCGGTGGGACCACTTGATTTCTATTGTGCTCTAATACCACTTGTAGTGCCCGAAAGCTCTAAGCCTGATGGGTTAATCTTTTGGCAAATAATGTACAAGAAGTAAAACACAAAATACACACCACAGGAACACAAAGATTTACGTGGTTCACCCAATAGGGCTACATCAACGGACACGACAAAACAGAAATCCATTATACCAATGAAAGTTGCATCAAAGATTTTGGAACAAACCTCGACAAAAACCCAAGTTGAGCAAACCCTTTTAAATCACTCTCTCTTTCTTCCCTTTAGTTCTGGCAACTATTACCAACAACACCAGATAAAGACACGAGAGCAACGAGAAACTTACTTTCTTTCTAACTAAAAGGGGAACAACCCAAAATATCTATGGGAACTGCTTCTCTATAAAAAACAAACAAGCATCTCAATATTCAGGAGTCTAAAATAGGCATCATCACAATGTTTCTATCCAAATGAAGCTTTCTTCTCTCTAAGAGTAAATTGCATACAGGAGTCTCTAACTCTCTCTCTCTCCAGAGGAACCACATTCCCATATAGTGACCCAAATTGGGCAGCGAATTCTCTACACTTTCATCCCATATATATAATTTGGAATCCATACAAAATAGGAAACTTCCTATTGATATAACATAGATCTCAAAAAACCAAAGAGATAAATCCAACAGTCCTAATCTTTTTTGAATTTCTATTTTCCTTAAGAAAGTTATCAATATCAATCTCAATCCCATATAATACTAGAATATCTCAATCCCACATAATATCGATGAATCTCAATTAGTCTCACAAAATATGGGATTTCCATGTGGGTGATTTAGATAACACCAAATCCAACAATCCCCACATTGATATCAAAATCAGATGTTCACCATGCCAACATCCATTGGATAGCTTTATGGATTCTTCATCTTTTGTCAAATAAATTTATTTGAAATTTGTGAGATTGAAGAGAGATTGAGATTTTAGGAATTTTAACGAGAGAGATTGAGAGATTAAGAAGGTTTGAAAGAACTTTAAAGGGAGTTTAAGAGAGTTAAGAGCTTTTGAAAGTTTGAGAGAGAGAGTTTAAGAGATGGAAAGAGTTTGAGGAAGAATTTAATAGAAAGTTGAGATTTAGAGGTTGAGAGGGAGAATTTAAAGGGTTTAAGAGCTTTTGAGAGTTGGAGAGAGAAAAGAGAAATTGAGAGTAGGGGATTTTGAGAGAGAAGAGTAATTGAGAGTGAGAGATTTAAGAAAGTGAAATTTGAAAGATTTGAGAATTCAAGAAAAATTGAGTGGGAGAATTTGAGATTGAAGTGAAATTTAAAGATTTTAGAAAATTTGGAAATGAGAGGTTAAAGAGCTTAAGAGATGGAAAAAGTTTGAGAGATTGAGAGGCTTGAGAGAATTTGAGAGGTTTCGAGAAGTTAAGAGAATTTGAAAGATTGAGAGAAAGAGTTTGAATAGAAGAAAGTTTGAGCTTGGAAGAGTGAAAGAGATAATTTAGAGAGCTTGAGAGAAGATTTGAGGTTGAGAGATTTAGTGAGTTTGAGGATGAAAGAGTGAAAGAGAGTTTGAAGGATTTGAGAGCAAGAGAGTGAAATATAGAGTTTTGAGAACTTGAAAGAAGATTCGTGATTGAGAGACTTTAGAGAGTCGGAGAGATTTGAGAAATTGAGAGTTTAAGAGTTGGGAGAGAAAAGAGAATTCGAGAGTAAGAGTGAAGGAGAGTTTGAAAGTAAGGGGAAGGTGAGAAGAGAGAAGGGGGAAGACAAAGATGAGAAGAAGAGGGAGAACGAGAGAGGGAGAGGGAAGAAGAGAGATGAGAGAGGGGAGAGAACGAGAGAGAGAGGGGAAGAAAGACGGACCTGCAGTGACTGCCGGTCCGGAAGAGAGAAAGAGAGAAGAGGACGTGGGAGAGAAAGAAGATAGAGATGGACCGGCACGACTGCCGGTCCAGACGAGAGGACGAGAAGGGAACGAGAGAGAGAGGAAAGAGACAGACAGGCAGCAATTGCCAATTCAGACGAAAGGGCGAGAAGGGAATGAGAGAGAGAGAAGAAAGAGACGGACCGGCAGCGACTACCGGTCCAAAAGAGAGAAGGAGAAGACGGACCGACAGCGACTGCCGGTCCAAAAGAGAGAAGGAGAGAAGAGGGCGAGGGAGAATGAGAAGAAAGAGAGAGACAAATCGGTAGTAACTGCTAGTCCGAGAGAGAGGGAGGGGAAGAAGAAGGGGGCCGGCAGCT